GTAAGGTGGGGTTGGGGTTGGGTTGGGATCGGGGTGGGGCCAAGGTAGGGGAAAGTGGTAGGGAGTTAGTATGGTCTTGGTTATGGGTAAGGGTGGGGATGGATGGTGGGGTCAGGTCGGTAGGGTAAGGGTTGGGCTGAGGTATGATAGGGTAGGGTGGGGTCGGGATCTGAGTGGGACCGAGGTAGGAGCATGTGGTAGGGGGTAGGGTAGGGTAGGGGTAAGGTAGGGTAGGGGTAGGGGTTGATGCGATAGGGTGGGTCATGATCGGGGTGGGGTCAAGGTAGGGGTAGGGTAGGTGGGGTCGGGGTAAGGTAGGGTAAGGGGGTAGGGTAGGATGGAGGTAGGGTGGGGCTGAGATTGGGGTGGGCCGAGGTAGGGGAACGTGGTATGGGTAGGGTAGGGGGGTGGGGTCGGAGTAAGGTAGTGGTAGGGGTAGATGGCGATAGGGTGGGGTTGGGATCGGGGTGGGGCCGTGGTAGGGGGTAGGGTAGGGTGGGGTCGGGATCATGGTGGGTCAGGTGGGGGAAGAGGTAAGGAACGAGGATGGAGGTAGTGGGTAGGGTGGGGCCGGGATCGAGGCAGTAGGGTTGGGCGGGGTGGGGGGTAGCGGGTAGAGGGTAACAATAGGGTAAGGGGAAAGGGTAAATTCGGAAACTGAAAAAGTTTAAAGTGCCGCTTAATTAATACATGGGAGGTGGTATGCTTAGTAAGCGGCACTTTAAGCACGTCTTTCGGTTAGTAAGCGGTTTTTTAAGCAGCGTGCGTGTTATTTCACATGTCTTACTAACCTAACTGTGACTTTAGCAGTGAAGTAAACACATTCTAAGGTTTTCAAAGAGAGAAAGAGTTTGGCCGTCGCTTAGACTCTTTTCTTCTACACAGACTGCTCTTTGCGGCGTTCTCTCACGCAAGACTGTCAGTTTGACGTCCTCTAAAACTGTTATAAGGAATTTGGATATAGTCTATTGATCACTTTGTTTGCGGTTGAAATTTGGAAATAATTGGGATGAGATTTGGGATTTGGGTTGCACAAAGACAATAATATAAATTTGTATTTTTGTAATTTAAAGGAATAATAAAAATCCATAAAGGCTAAAGAAATATGAAGAGACATGTCTTTTATTGTTTCACCAAGAATTGCATTGCTTTGGAGAAGTACAATCAATTCTACTTAAAATTAATGCATATTGTTTTTAAACTTGGCTCAATTTAGCACTTTTACTTATGTTCTAAAAAATTTCAAAATTTCAAGAAAAATTTGACATTAGACCTAATTGATTGACTTTAAAAAAGAAATATACTAATATATATTTATAAAATTGGATCTAATTTGTTTTTATATTTTCGAGCATCGGACGATTGCTCATGTTGTCCCTAATGTCGGCCTGGCAGGACTACACACGCCTTTAGATTCTATTTGTTTTACACAGAGAATCAATTTTTTGAGAAAATCAATAATTAACTTTTCAAAAAAATCAATACCCTATAGATTTTTTTTGTTTTGAATCATACCCGATAGTTGTGAATTGACGAAGGCATTTCAGATTTGCCAAGGCTTCGTTAGGAAGTTTCAAAAAATCAAGGAAATCTCAAGCATGCGAGTACCAAATTCTTTTACAGTATCACCCTGGGACAATTTTTAGGCTCATTATGATCCACATTGGTTGACATATTTCCAATGATTTAATTTTATATATCCATATGATATGAAATTCTAAGTAGGGCGGTTAACGAACCAAGCTTTTATCAAACTATTCGAGTTCGAGTTCGAGCTCGGTTTGGTACTAACGAGCCGAGCTTAAAGAGCTTTCGAATTTGAACCCAAGCTGAGTTTTAAGTTCGAATAATTAATCGAGCCGAGTTCTAACATAGTAGTATTCGACTCGGTTCGAGCTCAAGCCTATCGAACACCCTGAAGTTATAGATACAATTTAGTATTAAAGTTTAAATGTGATTAGTATGATTATTAATGAATCGAATACTTGTCGGACAATTGAGCACGAACTTATTAACGAGCATCACCTAAAATTTTAAATTCGAGCATATTTATCGAGCTTATTGACTATTGAGCGCTCGGTTCGAGCATCGAACGTCTATCGAGTCGAACATGAGCCTCATTTATAAAGCTCGCTGAGCTTCGAGCTCAAACCCGAACACCACGATTATTGAATCGAGCCGAACTCGAGTTGTGGGTGTTCGGGCTCGGCTTTGCTCATTAACATCCCTACTTGTAAGTGTATTTAATAAATTATACAACAAGCTCTTATTCGCAATAATACTTTATTAGTAATGTTGCAAATTTGTAAATATTGAAAATGAGCATAAATAATATGTAAGGTGATGTTTAGCCCAAATGTTAATGAGGTGAGCAAGAACTTTATTCATAATGAGTTGGGCATTAGCGGTGAGGGTGCTAATGCTAAATACCTGCGTTACCCTCTCTTGTTGGGCGTAATAAAAAAATTGGCTTACCTAAAAGAAAGGATAAATAAAAGCCTACGTAATTGGAATAATCGTTTTCTATCAAGAGCAGGTGCGAGATTATGTTGAAAATGGTTATCCAGGCAATGCCTACGTACGTGATGAATGTCTTCCTCCTCTGAGAGGAGTTATGCTCGGAGATTGATGTTTTAATGAATGAATATTGGTGGAGGGGATCTCATTAGGCTCTGAAGGGTATTCGTTGGAAAACTTGGCAATCTCTTTGTGTCCTCAAGCAGAAATGAGGAATAGGCTTTCTCTCTGTCAGGGAGTTTAATATTGCCATGCATGATGGGCAAGCAGGCTTGGAGGCTACGTAATTGGAATAATCATTTTCTATCAAGAGCAAGGTGCGAGATTATGTTGAAAATGGTTATTCAGGCAATGCCTACGTACGTGATGAATGTCTTCCTCCTCCCAGAGGAGTTATGCTCGGAGATTGAGGTTTTAATGAATGAATATTGGTGGAGGAGATCTCATCAGGCTCAGAAGGGTATTCATGGAAAACTTGGCAATCTCTTTGTGTCCTCAAGCAGAAATGAGGAATGGGCTTTCGCTCTGTCAGGGAGTTTAATATTGCCATGATGGGCAAGCAGGCCGGCTTGGAGGCTCATAAAAAACCTGGACTCATTGGTGGGAAAAATATTTGAAGGCTAAATATTTCCCTAACTCTTGTTTTTTTTTACAAACGACTTTGGGCAACAATCCCTCTTTCATCTGGAGTAGTATATACCAGGCCCAGGAGACGATGGAATGTGGCATTCGACGTAAAGTGGGGAATGGTCAAACCATTTCCGTTTGGAAGGAGCAGTGGCTACCAGGAAGAGGCTCGGGGTGGATTGTTTTGCCCCCACCGACAGGGATTGTTGATATGAATGTTGCGGCACTGGTGAATGCGAATGGCGATGGGTGGAACATCCAACGAGAAGAATCTTTGTTTTCGGCGGAGGAGTGTAAGGCAATACTTTCCATCCCTATTTCTAACAGGCGGGTGCAGGACGGCATATGGTGGAATGAAGATTCTAGAGGGATTTAATAGTGAAAAGTGGATATAGGCTCCTCCGGACCAAGATGTGGAATTTGCCTATTCCACTAAGACAAAGTGCTTCTTCTGGCAGCTTATGGTAGGCGCCCTACCAACTATAGTCAACCTTCAGAGGCGACATGTGGCGGTAGACAGGTAGTGTAAGATGTGTGGATGATTTTAGGAGTCTCGGTGGAATATTTTCCACCATTGTGACGTGGCCAAAGTGGTTTGGCAAAAAATGGGATCGCGCTTCCATAGACAAAGAAGTGACTTCGTTGATTGGGTTAAGCATTTTTTGATAATTTGCAGGTCGGAGATCTTTGCAATTTTGTGGTGACATTGTGGAGCATATGGAAGTTATGTAATGATCGTGTTTGGAAGTACATCTCGGGTCATTGGAGGCAGGTGCTGGAGATAGGGCGGCGGTGCTACGAGTGTGGCGGGCAGCCCAAGTACGACCGACGATTGTGGCTAATACTGCAGAGACTAGAGCTTGTTGGAAGAAGTCGGCTCCGAGTTAGATCAAAGTTAATGTGGATGCATCTCTCCAGCAAGCACATGGCATGCGTACAAAAGCCTGGGTGGTACGACTGTACGAGATGACCAAGGTAACTTTATGCAATGTGGCTAGAAGACGAAAAAAGTTGATTGGATGGCAAAGGCAATGGCACGAGTTTTAGGAAAAGTGAGTTTGTGTGGTTGATATTAATTGATAAAGTAAGAATAAAGTAAGAATAAAGTAGGAATGATTTTGAGTCGCACAAACTTTACCAAATAAGATATGAGACAATTAAATAGGGACATCTCAATATGGTAAAATTGGACATTTAAAAGGGGACAGAGAGAGTACTAAAAGTCACGAGCTTTTCTCATATGTTACTCCATGTAGCATTTCAAAAAAGATCTTTTAATTTTTGAAAAGCTCTTAAAAATTGTCATGCCAAACATACAACTAGAAGCTTTTAGAGACTTTTTGAACGATACAAAAGTTAGAAAGCAGAGACTTATGACTGTCAAACATAGCCTTAATATATCTAATCAGTTTTCTTCAAAAAAAATATGTAAGGTACTGTAGATAGATCTAATTAGCATATTCTACTTAATAAGAAAATGATAAGAACATCCAAAAAAATGCAAAAGTTGGTAGCTTTTGACTGAAATAAATTTTCCAAATAATTTCCTTTCATCAAATTGAGATGTCATTTGATGACTTGTGTTTTTAGCTCAGCAACGAACCTTTTCACCAAATACACAAAATTTTGATTTCATGCACCGAATTGTGCAATAATATAATAAAAATATATAAGGCTACAATTTTTTGGATGAATTGACTGAAGTTACGGTAGAAAACTATTATATCTATTTTCAAATAGTTTTTTCTTTATTTTGGTTATAAAATGTCTTTTAAATATGATTTTTTTAATAATTCAATAGATTCAATCAATTCAGCCGGTTCAACCAAAACTTCATTAATGTCAACAAAATCAGATGATTCAACCAATTTTAGTGTAACTAACATACTCTTAATCATTTAAACAAAACAAGTCTCATCAAATAGGCCCTTAATGGTTCATATAATATTTATACTAATGATTTTTTACACTGGTGGTATTGGGGTGAATACAGTCACCCATCATAACAATTGATCAAGTGATCTTCATCAAACCTAATTGATTGCCCATAAGTCTTTGTCATTAGTTTGTAGCATGATTTTTTTCTAGACAGATAAGAGTAATAATCAAGCCACGAAGGTACCCAGAAAAAGAGTCTCATATCAACTCCACATAAAAAGAAAATAGTAGAAAGTAAGAAAATATCACTTGCATACAATCTACCACCCCAACATATGTGGAAGCCAAGGTTTTCACTCCCACCTGAATGTGAGTGTTTGATGAGAACCACTGGAGGAGGATCCTTCCGGCGCATTCTCAAACATTTCAGGTAAGTGGAGGCCATGTTTGGTTTCAGTTTCTTGAGGAAAAGAGAATTGGCTATAACCATCGAAGTGCAGGCCGTGAGCAAGCGGTTGGCTAGAACTTGGCTGCTGCGCTTCGTGGCTAAAACCAATCTCTCTCGTGACACCTGGCACTGATGACAGAAGAGAGAGAGCACCATCACAACTGCCATTGGTTTGGTCGAACCCACCCGGGAATACCCTTTGGGAAACTGTAGCTTCGGGGAAAGCGTGGTCCCCACCTTGCAAGAAAGGAAACCGGTTTGGTTCTTTGTAGTCATGCGATGAAGGATCCCGCAACATGTTTCGGCTGTCAATATGATTGATATGTGATGGGTTGCTGTATACCATCTCCTCGTGCACATCCGCATTTGCATATCTTTGAGAACCACCAAAATGGAGAAGTTGCTTTGAACCTGCTACTGTTGCCAAAGGGTTGTAACTTTGTAAGCAGATTGTATTGTAGATGATTGTCAATGTAGACATTTTTGTTACATGGGTAGGATTTAAAAAGTATGTCTTTAACTAAATAAGTAGTCCCGTTGTCCCAAGTTAATCGACGTTTTAGAACAGTGCATGTATGTTAACGAATATTACAAAATGACATTTTTATCCATATAAAGTTCAACATTAGAAGTTTATCATATACTTTCAAAGGCATAATAGCATTAATATGGTAAGAGTCCATCAGGACAAAAATAATAGGCATTACTTTTCTAAAACGTAAATGGCTTTAGGGAAAATTAATGGCTAAAACAAAAATAATTTCAGACAAATGTAGTAATACTTTTGTAAAAGATGAGAATTGTGGTTTGAAAACATCTTCTTCACCGACATAAAATTTCAGTTGTTATCTACTACGTTTATGTGTAGCTTAATTACTTCAAAGTTAGGACACTTTTTTACCAGATGGTACTTTTAGAGCAAAAAGTGTTATGACTTAAAGGTATGCCTACAAAACTAAGCATAAGTAAGTCAAACCATCACTACATAAATTAACCAGAGGAAAAGAGACAGAAAGTGTTAAGTCACTTAACACTTAAGTGCCTACAAAACTAAGCATAAGTAAGTCAAAACCATCATTACATAAATTAACCAGAGGAAAGAGACAGAAAGTGTTAAGTCACTTAAGTGCTAACCTTGTGGACTAGAGGAATAAAGCATTGTTGAAGTACTGTTGTTGCAAGTGTCTGGTTGAGGCTTCCTTCTTCTTTTGTTATGACCATCAAGCCGTTTTCTACAGCTTCGCTTTCCCTCATCAAATTCAGACAACGGATGAAACCTAATACAAAAGTAGCATCAAATTATACTAATTTTCAGTGTGAGATTCATCCTTCGACATCTACTCACACTTCAGACTTGGAGTCAATCTTGAAACACAAGAATTTATATACCATCAATCCACATTTTTCCCAGGAAGCAAGGATTACCATTACAAATAGTTAGCTTTGTTATGAAGAAAAGCAGAAAAGATTGAATTCGATATTTAGTTGGGGTTAGTAAGACCATAGGTTGAGAACTAGCTAATAGATTGAATTCGATATTTAGTCTGAGGTTCGTCTGGTTCTTTATGGCCTAGTTGAGTAACTCTAAGCCATTTCGATTTTCACTTTGACACTTTTCAAGAAAAGTACCAAACACATCCGATGAACACAGAATCAAAAGAAGAAAGCAACATAACCAAAGCATATAAGGAATAAGGGTTACCTGCTACACTGTTGGCAGAACCGAAGCTCCCGACCACCAACGATGACCTTAGCCGTCTTAGAATGGATCTCACACACCTTATGTCTACGATGATAATCCCGGCACTTACTCAGGTCTTCATTACACCCATCCACCAAACAATTAGCAACATGTGAGCCATTACCCGCTGCCTTCCCTCTCTTTAATGATCCACTCGAAGAAGAGGAAGATTCCATCTCCAATAAAAGAAAAGAAAAAAAACAATTTTCCAGAATTTCTTCTCCCAAGTCACCAAATTTTCACCTTACTGTATTGTCACTCAGAATCCTGAACCTAATCAGGAACAAAATCTTAAGAAGCCCAGATTATCTCAAGAAAGAAAATATTATAACAAAACAAAACAAGATGAATCTCTTCATTCTATGTGTGTTTTTACTTATGCACAAGAGAGCCTTGCTCTGAAGTACCCTGATTGCAAATCTCAGAAAGGGTTTAAGCCACTAGAGTGCTTGAATGTAATGAGTCATTATTTGACAAAAAGGTGATCACTTTTTTCTATTCCACCGGTTGGATACAACCCAAAAAACTGAAAAAACATCTAGGCAGGTTCAACCTATGTGCATAACTTGATGGAATTTAATGAAGTTGTCAAGTTGTATTTATGCTCATAAAAGCTATAATTGGATAGAGCTGTTAATAGACTGACCAAATCACACTAAAATATTAAAACAAATTGATGTGGCATATTTTACTTAGGCCCTTATACATTCATTTATATCTATTCCATCTTTCAAAATATGAGAATATCTTAACATATGCAAACCAATCTGATGTCTCTATATATGGGAAAAGGGGAAATTGTCTAACCATACTTTATTTTATTATTGAGTATTGGGAAAGCATAGGTTATTACAGTGGAGAAAAAAAATCGGAAAGTGAGGAGCAGAGAAGATAAGAAAGATAAAGGTCTTGACTTTATTCGTGTCAATAATAATTTGATTGCTACATGAGTTGAAAGATCAGTAGTGCACATGAAAAAGCTGGGAGAAAAGGTTGGTCTTACATGAATGTTTATAAAACAAAGATATGGCACAATGACAGGAAAAAAATGAGAACATCTTGAATAAAAGCACTAGAAACTAGAGATACCTTAGAAATCTTGAATATGTTTACCTTAATTTCTTTCTATTTTTCGCCCCTTAAGACAGACGACTTGGTGATTTCTGAGGGGGGATACTTGCAGATAAGTGCAAGGGAAGAAGACTGCCCAATTGGTCATCTCAACCATTCATTCTCTGATTATTAAAGTGGCAACTGGAAAAAGCTATGGTTTGGGTGGGGAGGTCAAGAATTATTGGAGTGCTGGTATTATTAATAGTACCCCTCCCACTAATATTGAGATGGAAAGCTGATACAATTATTAAGAAATTCCACTTTATTAATATTGAATTGTCACAAGAATAAATAAAAAATGATTTAGATTCATACAAACTTTACCAAATTTGATTTGAGATAGTCTTAATAGAATTTCACGAAAAAGAAAAATTGATAGGAGGAGTAAGATTTAGAACCCGTTTAGTGACCTTGTTTTTCGGTCTATTGGTCTTATCAGTCAACTTTTTCACCGAACACGTACATTTTAATTTCACGCATTGAACTGTGTAATAATAAGAAAATGTAAGATTGGAGTTATTTTCCTGGTTGTATTGACTGAATTTATTGTATACACCCATTTTAGCTGTTTTTTCATATACTACGTAATATTTTCTTTATTTTATAAAAAGAATGTAATTTAAATATTTTTTATAAGGGAAAAATTGATAGTAATAATCTCAACTATTGGCGGTCCGCTCATAATAATCCCAACTATTGATTATTACAGAATAATCCCAACTTTAGGGACCTTCCGCCAATAATGGTCCCTATGAATAAATTCTTGTAGTTTCTAAAGTGAATGAGATGAGAATAACAAGTAATCCCTATAAATAATCTCAACTTTTAATTTTTACGCTTAATATCTATTTAAAATTCACTTTTTATAGAGGTAATATATGGTCATGGACCATTATTGGCGGATAGTCTATATAGTTGGGATTATACAAAAATAATCAATAGTTGGGATTATTTTCAGCGGATCGGCAATAGTTGGGATTATTATTTTCAATTTTTCCTTTTATAAATTAGTAGAAATAGCGAATATAGCCACTCCAGTCAGAACTTTATAAATTTTAGAAAGATTAACCAATACAGTCTATTTGAGTATCACCAAATGGTTCATACTTCATTAGCATCGATTATTTTTATACACTTTCAATAGGTATTATCTCACTACCTTTATTACTTTCACTTTTAAATAAAGAATTTATAATTCTTGTAAATTATCTCCCCTCTACATACAATTTTTACTTTATATTCTATGTGTCAGTCAACTTTGGCAAAATTATTATGAATGGAGAGACTGATGGACAGAGTATATAACTTTTAAATTTGCACATTTAATTATAAATAGTCAAAATAAAAAATTTATTTTCTATTTGAATTGGTTAAAATTACTGTAGTAGATTACTTTAACTGTTTTTATATATTTTTCTGTAATTTATTTATAAAACTTTATTTTAAATACTTTCCCATAATTTAGCAGATTTAGTAATTCAACAATCTCAACCAGAATCTCGCAAATTTAGACTAATTCAATTGATAGATTTCAAATTTAGAAAGCTATTTTGGGTGTTGGGATATACCTCTTCAAATATCACTTAATATTTTTTATTTGAACTATAATTTTCAATCATTATATGTTTAAATCTATTTCAGATTAGCTAGACTTAACCTGATTTGATTTTATAGGAATTAGTCTAGTATGTTTCGGTTTGGTTATATTTGTTCTTGTAAGGTTTGTCATCTTTAAAATTAGTTAATTGTGAGGTCGTCTGGTCTAGTATGATTTGCAAGTGAAAACATTTTAACCAAGTATATGACTAAAGGGATGTTTAATTGTTTACGAACAATGTGAAAAGTGAAAGCTCTAAACAAGTTGTGTTATTCTACGTGCATGTCTGGCACACAAAAGTCAGTAGCTTCTAACTTCTCTATTATTATGGTCTCTTTGAGAATCCTGCAATCTCCCTTTGTAGACAATGTGTTTCAATTTTTGAAAAATTGAAAATAACAATCTCAACTATTGCCGGTCCGCTAACCATAATCTCAACTATTGATTATTTTTGTATAATCCCAACTATATGGACCCACTGCCAATAATGATCCATGATAGGATATTACCTGTTATAATATGTGAATTTTAAATAGAAATTAAGGGTAAAAATTAAAAGTTGGGATTATTTATAGGGATTACCTGCTATATCTCTTCTCATCCACTTTAGAAACTATAGAAATTTATTTATAGTCGGTCACGCCAAACCATTATTGGCAGAAGGTCCCTAAAGTTGGGATTATTCTGAAATAATCGATAGTTGGATTATTATGAGCGGACCGCCAATAGTTGGGATTATTACTATCAATTTTTCCTTTTTGTTATTGTTTTATTTGTTAATTTATAACCATCATTTATGTTACATTGAAACTCCATATATGACATTCGCTCCATGTCATTGTACATGTCTTACTTTCTGTTTGAGTTATTTCAAAATAAGTGTCTTATATCCTTATTGAAACAAATATGTTGTGCACAATATTTCACTTTATTATATATTAAATTTCAAACACATTTTTTCATTTTCAACCACTATTAGTAACTGTTTCAAACCAAAATAAGAAGTATAAAATGGGATGAAGGTAGTACCTTTTAGGAGATAGATTTTGTAATTGAAATTTTGTTAGAACTGAACTTCATTTTTATATAATTAGTATTCCTTTGATGTGAAACTCTCGTCTCACTCCTTATCTCATTGTTGGCCTCATTATGATCATAAACTTCAGCATTTCCCTCACTTTTTTCATGTTATGTGAAACGTCACTATTAACTTGTAATTCTACCTTTGCTTTAGATTGGCCTCAATTTCTTCCTCTGCTTCATCATATCCATCAATCTCATCTACATTCAACAAAATTTCTTCCTCTTCACCCAGTGCTTTAGTTTCAGGAGGTGCTTGACCCTGTAGTTCAGTTTCAAAAGGTGTTTCACCCTGTGCACCCGTTGTATTGACCTGTATTTCTTCAACCACTTCAGGTGATGCTTCACCATGTTTTTCTTCATTTGGGGCCGGTAAAGGGAGAACCAGTTCAACCTCATTCAAACCATGCTCCATAAAAATATCACATTTTCCACAAGTTGAAGCCATATCAATGAGATCAGGCGCTGCTTCATCATCGAACAACCCATGAAGAATCTTTATAAGTTCATTTGGTCTTTTAAAGTACAAACCTTTAATATTACCGTAGCTTCTACTTTTTAAATACTTCAATAAATGAGGGAAGGAAATCAAGTAAGGATCCATTAGAATGCATTCCATTAGAATGGTAGCAAAGTTCCCTCAATGATGAATAATGAGTTCCACATAGTCAAACATTTTGTACATAGGACAACACTTCATTTCAAAGGCCCCAACAGATCACAAATTCATCATTCTGTACATATAGCAAAATTCAATGCACATGTGTACAGTGAATAATACAGTTCCTAATAAGCTCCAATAAGCTCTAGATGTTCATGTAATATGTTTCCGCAATAAGCTCCAATAATACAGAAAATGAAGTATTAATGTTACCTCCAATTATAGACCATTTGGAAATTGATTTGAGAGAGAATAAAATCTAATGAATAGAAAAAAAGATAATAAAAGAGAATCGGCTTCACCAGACTTCAGAAGATTGATGGGGATGCTTGAGGAGATGATGGAGACGGCACAGGGAGAAGATTCGAAGAGGGGTAAGTTCGCATATAATATATATATATATATATATATATATATAGGGTGCGGTTCGAGTGAGAACGATGCTTAACGTGAGAACGTGAGAACACTCACATTTAAATCAATGTGGTGCACAATGGAGCTATTCTGTTGCACATTTTCAATTTGGTCAAAATAAGAGTATAATAAATAAACACGGTGGCATTTTTGTAAATACTGTTAAAATGTGAAAATGTGCAATATACAAGCTTCATTGTGCAACACGTTGGGGAAAAAGTGGTGTTCTCACGTTCTCACGTTAAGCAATGTTCTCATTTGATCTTTATTCTATATATATATATATATATATATATATATATATATATATATATATATATATATATATATATATATATATATATATATATATATATATATATATATATATATATATATATATATATATATATATGCGAAAAGGTTTTTTTGGGACTTTTAATTATACAATAAAATTATAAAATAGACTAAATATAGGAACTTTTAACCAATAAATCATAACTTATATTGTAAAAGCTCTAAACAATATACAATAGTAATATAAATATTGTATATTTCGTAATATACAATATTTTTGTTGGGATTAGTTTAAAAGGTTTTTCTAAAAATGTGACCTAAAATGACCTAAAGTGACTGTAGTATACTTTTATAATCACTACGGTTTACATAGTAAATTAAAATTTTAATGATACCTCCATCCCGATTTGATTTGCAAAATTTTCTTTTTTGATTGTGCCGAAATGTTTTTCCACTTTAAGTAAGGAGAAATGAATAAAATGATTCGTGGGTATGAAGTATCATGTCACCATAATGTGCTGCTCAACCTAGTAGAAATGGATTATATATGGGTTGCTCAAGTTGAAAAAAACAGTAACATTATACCCTTACACCAACATGTACCCTTACAACTAAAATGGGAATGTTTGTACACGCACAATACCCTATTATATAGCCCTGTGAACAGAAACATTGTGACACCGCACCCGAACGTCCTTGAAAATTCAACTTAAATTCAAATTTATGTATTGAATTTCCGATCTCCAAACAATTGTAAACGATTAATGTTCTACGTAGTGCATGGTTAAATAGCGTACTGTTCAAACTCGTACATTAGTGTCAGTTTTGAAAATACTTATTCGGGACTTATTAATAAATAAAAGAGCCCAACATTATCCAAATAGTGATACATAATCTTTCAAGACAATTTGAGGAAGGTCGGGCGGCCCAAACATTATTTTGGGCCCAGCCTGCTAAAAATAGCAAGTATTCGGGAATGGCGTTCTAGACCCACTCGGGAGTGACCCACACGGCTAGTAGCCCAATAATATGTATGACAAATGTCAAATAAGTGATCGAATGATTAAAGAAGAATACAAATGCCTATAACCCAATCTTTGGCATTATTGAGCTAAATAATGGGAGTAGGATTTTCCTTCTATAATATCCATCAAGTAAATTATTGAGATGAGCCTACACATATTGGAGATCAATAATGTGATTTAGGAAGTTGACTTGTTCTAAATAAATTAGGATGAGTACAAAAGACATCTTTGAATGGGATCAATTGGGAACCATTCCACATGGACTTATTACCTGCAAAACAAATGAAAAGAGGTGAGAAGACTATATGGGGCGGACTCTTGGCTCACATGCACAAAAGCTCCAAGAGAAAACAAAAGGGGGAGGTCCACCCCATATTTGATTGCAAACCAAATATCTCCCATGTTCTTTTGTGAGCCACATACTCTTTTAGCATGTTTAGGGTCTCCTAATACACTCCCCCTACACCCCATTCGAACACCCAAAGAGATAAGAGAGCAAGGGAATCCACACAACCCAAGAGAGAAGGAAGGAGGAGAGCAGTCCGCAGGTTCGTTCTTCAGTGCGTAGCTCTGATTGTTTGAGCCATAACTTGAGATTTACTCATCCAAATAAGGCGTGCGAGATACCAACAGAAAGCTCTCAAGACGAGGAATCCGTGAAGGTCTGGCTTGCATCAATCGGAGTAGTGGAAGGCTTACAAATCGACCGAGCAAAACACGACCTCGCAGAATACGTTTTTTGTATTCAAAGTAAGTTTGAATCCAAAACCTTCCTCTCTATTGTCTAAACCATATAAATGATTGAAGAACTATTATACACTGATTGAAGTGTATAAAATGTTATTATAAAGTGACTTTAATTGTTGGAAAAGTTAGATACTAATCTAGACAAAACCTTTAAAGGTTAGGGAACGATTTCGTCGGGAAACACCCGTTCTAGGGACTGTTTTTGTGTCTTCGGTTAGGAGTTGAACTAGCACTTTGAAGAGGCTGTTTAACACTCAATTCCAAGCAAGGAATCAGTTCTCAATCTTCCTTGGCCGAGGCTTTGGTAATTGGATCGAGAAGGAAAGTTTTAAAGCTCATTTGAGGTGAGGATTGACATCTAATTGCTTACAACTTGTAGGTTAAGCATGAGATTACCTAAATGCCTAAATCATAATTTTTATGGATTATGATGATTATATAATGATGAAATATGGATATAGTTTCCAAAGAATGAAATTGGAAATGATTTGAGAATGTATGAATAAAATGAGATCAAATGAGTTATGAATGAACTATTTTGTGAAATAGGCATTTTACTCATGTATGAATTATGTGGGTACATAAATGAATGTTTATGTATTGAGATTGAACACTTAAGTTGCTACTACAAAATTATAAATATGTAGAGGATTACAAATAATGAGCATATATGTATGATCACAATAATCTTAATAGTATTGAAATACTAGTTAGCGATTATTGAAAATTGTTGATGGAATTGATCCTAGGGATTGGATCGTAAGAAATGCACTTGAATATACTTCAAGTGTATATGATGACTTAGTATGAAACTAAGGTTAAGTGGTGGGAAGTTTTTAAGGATGACTCATGGTAGTTTATTGATATGTCAATTCTAGGCATAGGGTTGCTTAAGAATTGGACCTTCATGCATGGTGATGTGATAGAGCCGAGCTCTAGGATGCATGGTAAGGTGGTAGACTTGTAGTCTATGTATTGAATAGCTAGAGCCGAGCTCTAGGGCTTGCGTGGTGATGTGATAGAGCCGAGCTCTAGAACGCAAGGTAAGGAAATTGACCCGAGTGACATGAATTGTATGGTGATGTGGTAGAGCCGAGCTCTAGAATACAATGTCATGTGTTAGGGTTGGACTCTATGAGTTGTCGTGGCTTATAGCCACGGGGCATGGGAATGGTGATTTCTAAATGAACATGGGCCCACGGGCCGACTACTTGACTTTTATATAAAGTAAGTATATTTTCAAACAGGGTAACTTAGGGTTACAAAGAATAATGTACTATCACCCTATTTGAGGGTCTTGTGTTTGAAATACTTGTTGTATATCTATTAGATGCCTGCCACACCAGTACTTTATAGCTGTATAGAGTACTGACCCCTTCGGGGGCGTCCCACCACCATTTCAGGTTGAGGCTAGAGCGTGCATCCTGTGCTCGTTGATCGAGTGATCCCTCGGAGAGAAGACTTGGTTCGTGCTTCCTCCATTCTATTTGAAACATTAATGAATTTGCTCATGGATATTTTACTATAGAGCCTGCGTGCTCATGAATAGCCCTGTGTGGCTCTTTTGTTTTAAACAATGTTTTTCGCTGCGTTATGAATTACTTATTATGTTTGTTTATGGATGTTATATGTGTGAATGATATTCATGACGCCTTGTATAATATGAATGTGTTGGACTGCGGTTGACTATTCGTATCGTACGGCGGGTTGTTGACGTGCCCGGGTAGGTCCGGGGCGTGACAAACATTGGTACCACAGTAACAAAAACAAGATTTTTTTTTCAAAATGGAGCCTTAGGGTACCTTGTGGGATATTCAGACATGAACTCCATGTATTTTCGTTCTATTGTATTGACTGCATTTTCTATTTCCTTAACTGCAGCCATTACTATTGGTGTTTGCAAATGTGCAGCTGATTAGATTGTTCAACTAAAACAAGATCAACTGAAATAACAACAAGTAAAATACTCCTTCTTTCTAGACTTCCCTTTCCCATATGAAGTAGTTTGTTTTTGTAGTGGCCTTTACACTTTAGCACTTATACCATAACATTTTGCAATGTCACTCACACATACTGATTCAAATCCCTAGAGTCAAACTCATTAATGGTTGTTGCACATCATTCACTAAATCATCAATATTTTTAGAACTTTTTTTATGCTTTAGTTAATCAATAACCCCAAACCATCATAAATCTAGCACATTTAGATCACGACTATTAGGAGGCCAACATGTTAATTGAATGCATGTCCTAATCACATTCTCTTGCAACTGCTACAAAGTCTGAATCATCAAAGTCCACATGAGATTTTGTGTTATCTTGTTGTATATATTATGTGTTTGGCATATCTTGGTGGCCATTTCTCTTGGATTGTTGATAGTGCACTCTCAATCATAAATTGTTTAACTACTTCCCTTGTGATGCTTGCAATATAGTTTGTCATTAAGGTTCCACTTATTCTATTTCTATTGCTTCTCTTTTTATCCTATCTTGATATTTGAATGGGAAATCCCTGTCTTTCCATCCCACAACACGACCTCCCCACTTTCTTTTATTTTAGATCTACCTACAACCGCTAAAAACATGACTTTTGAAATAAACCTTTTACTTTGGACTGCCCTATACATGATTGATTCTTCAGGTTGCATATATAAATGTTTAACTTCATTGGTCAAGTAGAACCACTTCTCATCTATGTGGATGTATTCATAAAAATCTTGAAATGTAGGGTTTGAACTAATTGTATGAGGTATTAAATGACTTAATTAAACAAAATTTCATTCTTTCTCATGCCTTTCTTTATTAAGAATTGTATGTGGATGTATTGAGTTTTCCATTGACTTTATTAGTTAAAAGCATCTTCACAATAATGCTTCTTTGTGAAACTTCCCTCTTGAAAATTGACTATTGTTTCTTGATTTTTTATAGATGAAACAAAGTGAAGGTGCAAGTTACTTGAAGGAAGGTGATGACTACTTTGGGCTATTTTAGGAAATTGCTAGTGCAGAAAAACTAGTAGGCTAAAAGGTCAAATAGGTCCTCGAACTAACTTAAAAAGTGCAAATCACCTCTTATATAAGAGGCTTTGTCCGGAAAGACAGTCAAATGATTTTCTAGAAATGTACTGCGCTTTTTAACTGTGCAGTTATCTTCAAAAATTCATTTGACTGCCTTCCCGATTGAATTTTTAATTGAAATGTAGTATGAATAAACTAGACTTAATGAAGAAGATGTTCAAAAAATTCCACCGGGAACCACCCCAAATGGCGGTGGCTGGACAGAGTCTCCTATATAAGGGGTGATTTGCACTTTTTAAGTTAGTTCGAGAGCCTATTTGACCCTTTAGCCAAATTAGTTTAAGAGATTGCAGACGACTGTCTTGAAGGTGTTCCTATGATTGTTCCTATGAAGGTGGGTTATTTTTGTGGTCATTAATTTAGAGACTTGCATTTACATGATGTGTCAATCCTACGGTATAATTTGTGAATCCAAACATCCCGTAATTTGTTCAAATTTGATCTAGCTACTAAGAGTTTATTTATAGTTTATCAATTCAAATTACCGCCTATAGCTAAAAATTAATCCTACATTACCGCCTATACTATGAGACTTTGATGAATTGGAAATTGTTGAAGAAACTATTTGACCTTTTCCCATTTTTATTTAAAAAATTATGAATTCCGTACTATTACACTCCGTAATATGGAGTAGAATGTTATTTCAAACATGTTATAATTCTACTCTAGATATATCCCGTGCATCGCACGGGTACTTTGTCTAGTGTATATATAGTTTATTTAGGCCTAATTGACTAATTTTGATGTGATTTGATATGTACCGAATAAAAACATCCAAGATTTCAAATTAAACACTTTTGATTAAGTTAATCCTTTAATAGACATTGCGCGCATTGGCTGAAATTTATGAAGTTCTGGATGAAGTGGCTGCATTAGCTGATTCTACTTATTTAAGAAAAAAATATTTTTGAAATATGTTTTATTAATAAAATAAAAAAAATTATATGTAAAAATAGTTAAAATGGTCATCTACAGTAACTCCAGCCAATACAGCCAGAAAAGTAACTCTAACCTTACTTTTTCTGCTTATTACACAATTCAGCGCGCGAAACAAAAAATTACGTGTTTGGTGAAAAAGTTAGCTGATAAGCTGAAAAACAGTGTTGCCCAACCGCCTCTAAATGAATTGAGAGCCCGTTTGGTAGCACGAAAATCGGCTGTTTTGGCTTATTCTGCTTAAATTTATGAAATTCTAGCGGAAGTGGCTGCATTGGCTGATTCTACTAATTTAAGAAAAAATTATTTTTAAAATATATTTTATTAATAAAATAAAGACAAAGTTATATGTAAAAATAGGTAAAATGGTCATCTACAGTAACTTCAACCAATGCAGCCAGAAAAGTAACTTCAACTTTACTTTTTCTCCTTATTACACAATTCAGCGCGCGAAAGCAAAAATTACGTGTTTGGTGAAAAAGTTGGCTAATAAGCCTGATAAGCCGAAAAACAGTGTTACGGCCTGTGAATTAATGTGAAAAAAGTGAGCCTCTTCAAAGTTCGGCACATGGTTGGCATTTTATATGCAGATATACTTTATTAAAGATAGTAGATACTACTCCGTAGTCCGGGTTCGACGTATTCCTACGGCTGTGCAAGAGCCAAATAAGAAGTCATATGGGTTTTGTGATACCCATAAGTGGACAAAGAGGAGTATATTTTGGGAGTTACCATATTGGAAAGACCTTCTCATTCGTCACAATATAGATGTCATGCACACTAAGAGGAACATGTTTGACAATATATTTAACACAGTGATGGATTTCAAAGGCAAAACTAAAGACGGTCTTGCATCTAGAAAAGATATGACTATTTGGTGTGACAGACCCGAACTTTCTGTTGATCTAGAATATACTGGTAACAATATTCCAAAAGCAGTCTACCAAGTCACAGAAGCACAAAAGGAAACAATATTACAATGGCTTGTGTCTCTAAAGTTTCCAGATGGCTACTGCTCCAACTCGTCCAGATGCGTGGACATGAACAAACTTACAACGACGTCGAGCATGAAAACTCACGATGCTCATGTAATCATGCAAAGACTTCTCCCAATTGCAATGAAAGAGATGCTTCCTGAACACGTATGGTCCTGCATTACTGAGATCAGTTTGTTGTTCCAGCGTTTTGGATGCAGCATCCCTCCGGAGACTAAAAGAGTCTGTTCCTATAGTGATGTGTAATTTGGAAAAGATAATGCCTCCATCATTTTTTGATGGAATGGAACATCTTGTAATATATCTTTCGTATGAGGCTTTGACTGCTGGCCCCGTCTTCTATCGCTGGATGTACAGATTTAAAAGGTTAGTCACAATTTCATTTATCTTTGAATATTTATTTCATAACAACATTAATCTGTTTACCACCTTGATTTTACATTGCAGGTTTCTTGGAGAGTTGAAAAAGAAAGTGATCAACAAGGCACACGTTGAAGCTTCAATTTGTCAAGCGTATCTTCAACAAGAAATCTCCACGTTCTCATCTTTTTATTTTGAGCATGAAGTCATCACTAGAAGAAAGAGACATGCCCGAAACGATGACATTGGTGAGGATTTATACGAAAATGTAGTTTCCATTTTCAATTACCCAGGTAGAGGTAAAGGAGCTGCGACACACTGATACGTCTTGGGCGGAGAATTACAAATTGTGCATACTTATATCCTCATGAATTGTCCAGAAATCTTACCGTTTTAACAGTAAGTTAAATTTCTATATATACTTGTAATATAAATACAATTATATCAGGTAGTTGATTTATGATATTTTCATGTTTGACTTCACAGTGAATTTAGAGCGGAGCTCTCAGCATTCCCTGATAATGAAATTGATGCAATGGTGTACTCTGATTTTGTACCGTGGTTCAAGTATCAGGTATATATATACACACATTAATTATATATATTAATAAGTAATGATTTGTAATAATTACCCAATTTTATCATGTTATATTTTACAAATCAATAGTCGTGGGATTGTGGACCCTCTGTTAGTAGCATTATCGTGGGGCCCTGGTGCCTACGCCAAAGTTTGGCGGTCATATGTGATAAACGGTTACAACTACCACAGAGTCAATTACGGACAGGGCCGACCAACAGTGAACGGCGGGTTATGTGTCCCAACTATCGGTTATGATAACTCGGAATCCAATTTTTTTGGTGTCTTAGAGGACATTCTCGAATTTGAAATGCCTTCTGCTGGGAAAAGTTTGACATGCGTTTTGTTCAGCTGCAAATGGGTCGATCCAACGCGTGGTGTGAGAAAAAATTCAAAATATAATATGATTGACGTCAACCACTCTCGCGTGTATAAGAAAAATGAGCCTTTTATACTCGCTCAACAAGCAGCCCAGGTTTATTATGCAGAATATCCTTCAACCAGGCGGACAAGGAATCCTTGGGTGTGTGCATGTACTGTCCGTCCGAGCAAAATTGTATCACAAACTCAACACAAGGACGTTGATTTAGATGCTTTTCAGCAACAATTTTGCCAACCTCCGCCTATTGTTGAGACGGTCAACCATCACATTCAGTTAAGTGATCCAAATGGCGGAAGTGTTGAAGTCATGCCAAAAACGCACCTTCCGGACCTAACACCTCCATCTGAGTGCGAAATTGTTCAAATGCATGAAGAACAACAAAATGCTCAATATCAGGAAGAAGGAGAATGGATAGACGGTTCAAAGTTAAAAAAAAAAATTGAAAAAAATATCATCCCCTCATATTAAACTTAAACACAGTTTAATATGTTATACACATTTTCAATAAAATTTTGATCTTTTATTATATTCCCACTAACATATTAAATATACAAATCAATATTTTTTTAGATGAGCAATGAACAATCTATCTCGCGTACCCGCCCGAACTATGCGCCCTTAACCGAAGCAGAGCGCAACAATGAAAATGCGGTTTGGGTGACACCTCACATGGTTGCTAAGTAAGTAACTATGAACTTTACCTAATGTCAAATAATTTTATCTAATGTCAAAATAATCTAACCAAAACAGATATAAAAAAATATGATTAATTTTTTGAAGCGGTCAAGATGTGCTGGACCAAATCAAACTCATAATTGGTGGACACTTTCTTGGGAACTGGGCAACCTACACGGATGTTGACCCCAAGGTCCGTGAGTTATAGTGGGCCCTGTTCAAGGTAAAAATAAATGAATGTTCCCTGCATAATTGTAGTACCCTAATATATATCAAAATATTAATTTATCCCTTTTTTAAATAAAGGGCTGGTTTCGATGGACTGCAGCGCAAGGTCCCGCTATTCTTAGAGCCTATAATGCCAGGATTTCGAAATGGCTTCGGCCCACTTTTAGGCGTGCCCGAGCGCAAGGGCGGCAGCCTAGATGGTGTTCGGATGAGGTGTGGGCCAACCTCGCCCGCCACTGGTCTACTGATCCAATCTTCTTGGCAAGGAGCGAATCCGGTAAGAAAAACCGGATGTCCGAGAAGGCCTTGGAGATTCAATGGCACGGGGGGCGCAAACCTCAGAGTAAACATCGAGAAGCTCTTGTAAGTCCTATTCAAAAAAACCTTACATCATTACAACCCTTCATTTTCTACATTTATTTAAGAATTTTAAGCTTTTTTCGAACCATGTAGGCGGGGCCTAAGAAGAAGGTCTCGATCCTCAAGGTCATCAAGCATTGTTGGACAAAGCACGGCGATGAGTCGGAAGCCGATCTGCCACCCTGCTTCGCCGAAATCGAAGTAAGTAACATCAATTTCCTTATTTAGTAACATTTCAAATCGAAGTAAATAACCTTTCAATAATTTTTGTACATGTAGACGAAGTACAACACAAATGTTGAGATGAAGCGGGCGGAATTAGGCTTGACCCAGGAGGATGAGATCGCTTCTGATGTGGAAGATGATGTAATCCTTGAGGCAGCTGGAGTGTACAAGGGTCGGGTTCCGTGCATGGGGGCTGAGGGGCAACGGATTTTGTATGACCGCACCACCAGAGCTTCATCTTCTCGATCAGGGCGGGGACATGATCTACGCATCGCCCAAATGCAGCGAGAATTGGAGGAGGAGGAGCGGGCATTAGAGCAGCAACGGAAGAAGGATGAAGAAACAAGAGCCCGGCTGGAAGCGATGGAGCGGATCTTAAACGCCGGATATCAGCCTCATCCTCGGCCGTACATATTGCGCCCCGAGCAGACTCCTCAAGTTCCGCACATGGGCAACATGGATTATTATTCTAACTCCGGATATAGTAGCATGCCTATGATGGATTCGGCATTCGGATCTCTGTCGCATGGTTTCTTGAATCAATTTCAGTCATCCGGAGGATCCAGTCGTGGAGTGAACCGAGGAGGTAGCCGAGGAGGCAACCGAGGAGGCAGCCGAGGAGGAACCCGACCCGAAGACACCGTGGAGCCCGAAGATGAGGATGATGATGATGATGATGATAATGATGAATTTGATAATGATAATCCTAATTTTTATCATAATGGAGTTCGAAGACCGGACATGTAATAGTACAGTTTTATCATTAACATTTAACATTATTTTTATAATTTTAGTTTGCAATGCACTTTTATTGTGTATGAGTGTATGAATTTTGTTTTTTTATTTAATGATATAATTGCTCTACTTTGTAAAATATAATATTTTTCCTGATAAATTTTTGATTTTAATTTTAATTTTAAGAAAAATTAAAATAAGTTTTAATTTTGTTATTTTGAAAATGGGATTTTTTTAAAAACAAAAACAAAAAATTTAGTCACAGATCTGAGCCGTGACTAATTTTTTAGTCCGGATTTTTTTTTATCAATTTAAAATTTATTTAAAAAAAAAATAGTCACAGATTCATGACCATGACTAATATGAAATTTGAAAAATTTGAAAATGCGAACCGTGGGTTTTTGAAATTTCAAAATTTAAAAACGTAGTCACGGAAATTGCCGTGACTAAAATGGCCGAATTTTTTTTAAAAAAAAATTCTTAGTCACGAAAACGTCCGTGACTAATAAAAAAAAGTAATCACGGATCTTAGCCGTGACTAAAGTGCCGGAGCAACTATTCCAGTGACATTTTAGTCACGGACTTGGTCCGTGACTAATCCGTGACTACATTTAGTCACGGATTTAGTCACGGATTTTGTCCGTGACTAAAGAGTTAGTCACGGATTTTTTATACTACGGTCCGTGACTAAATCCGTGACTAACGCGTTATTTTTCTGTAGTGAAGATTTGTTACTTTTATTATTGCTTAAACCGTTAATTATATTTCTTTACTTGTTAAATCAAACAATATAATTATTTAACATTTTAATGATAAATTAATTTTGAATATAATACTCAATATTTGATTGCAAGATCATCACTATTGATAGTTGTATTGTACTCCGTATGTATCTATTGTGATAATATAATCATTTCGTGTAAATACGTTATATACCTAATATACGTACTTTATTGTCCTCATTCCTGACATCTTGGAGATAGGTTAATTAATTCAAGAATGCTTGTTGTACCCACTCTTATACCCACCTTATACCCACCATGTTTGTGAAGGGTTTTTTTTTGTCTGTGAACCCGATTCACAGACAATATTTTGTTTGTGCAAAATATTGTCTGTGAGTCCCAATTCACAGACAAAAAAAAACATTCACAAACATAGGTGGGTACAAATGTGGGTATACGAGTGGGTACAAAGATCATTTTTGTAATTAGAACTAGTCGGGTATTGTTTTTTGGAAAATGCTAGGGGTACACAAGTTGTACACAACTTGTACACACAATGTCGGTCACAGACAATTGGTACGGAGTCGTCTGTGACCACAGACAAAGTTGTCTGTGTACACAGACAAATTTTGTCTGTTTCCACAGACATTTACTTTTTTGTAAAAAGTACTTGTCAGTGTCAGGCGGCTCTCAGTGTACTTTTTACAAAAAAGTAAATGTATGTGGAAACAGACAAAATTTGTCTGTGTACACAGACAACTCTTGTCTGTTGTCACAGACAACTCCGTACCAATTGTCTGTGACCGACATTGTATGTACAAGTTGTGTACAACTTGTGTACCCCTAGCATTTTCCTTGTTTTTTTCCGTGTATAGACGCATGCAACCTTTGTACTTTGATTGTCGAGAATATACACTTTTAAAATGCTAGACCTAAAGTTGTGTCAAAATAGTATTCCCTCCGTTCCACTATGATTGTCCCATTTTACCATTTCGGTCCGTCCCGCTAAGATTGTCTCATACCTTATTTGGTAAAGTTTGTGTGGTTCTAAATCATTACTACTTTAATCTTAATTTATCAATTCAATATCAACCACATAAACACACTTTTATTAATAACTGTGTCATCTTCTCTTGTCCCAAACTTAGGGGGACGGAGGTAGTACGTAGTAACATGTAACATTACAAAAATGTGTGCTATTTCTCCAGAAATATATAATCCGTGTATATTAAAGTATACGTACTATAAATTTATAATGTGAACATTTGTATACTCCCTCTGTCCCGCAAAGATGTTCCCGTTCACTATTCATGGGTCAACTTAGGTCACTCATAATCTTTTACTTTATATATTAAATTTTTATCAAATTGAAATTTTCTTGATCAGGCTTTAACTTGTAGCGGTTTTAATGTAGTTTCTAAATATGTAAATTTATTTACTAAAAATAATATGAATGTGAACAGGATCAAGTTGCTTTATCGTCAGTCAAGCATTATAAACGGGAACATGTTTGGGAGAAGTAGGGAGTAGTAATGAGAATAAAAAGAGTTAGCTAGACTCACGTGTTGGTGCCTACAAATCTACAATATTGGTTTGCCTGATTTCGTATAAAATCTTAACAAACATAGTCAACATAATTGATTGATTAAATCAGTAAATATTGAGGTCCCAAGTGACATACGAAGTACATCATATCCACTGGTCCCAGCACGTGACCGTTTTTCTTTAGCAAGGAAAATCAAACGACTACTATAAATATGTATAATGTCACCAAATATTCATTCCACCGTCTCATGCATGTACCTAATAATAATCTAATTACCAATGTCGCCAAATATATTCATCCTTTACATCATGGATCATATGCATGATGTGACATTATTATATTACTATTCATATTATGTATGCAGGGATGGATTTAGGGGGGCGCGGGGGCGACCGTCCCTTGGACTTTCAAAAATTTCTATTATTTTAGTATTTTCATAAAATTTTCGTATTTTAGTTAGGTATATATGTGTTCGCCTCTCTTAACTTATAGGTTTTAGAATTAATATATAGTCTTACATAATGTAATACTTAATTGTAGATTATAAAGAAACATCTAAAACAATTTACATAACTTGAACAAATAAACAATAGAAACAACTCATTATTTACAACTTAAGATACTTATTACTTCGTATATAAAAATTCTTAGTTTTGCAATGTTTAATTATCTTTGTTAGATTCTTCCCAAAAAAATTATCTTTGTTGGATAATTAGTACTCGATTTCGGAAAATATCAAATAAAATTAAAGACCATACACTACTTAGACAATTTTAGATGTTTGTTGACATTAACTTACACGATTCTTTTACTTCTAACTTCATAAAACAATTTATTGCATATATAATAAACCAGTTTTAACTTATTTTAGCATTGATACAAATATCTTATGCACCATATATATATAGATTAGTATCATAATATTATTTTAAAAATAGTAATCTCATACATATACTATTGCAATTCAAAAATCAAATCTTTATTGTGATAATATTCATGTGGTTGAAAAAGACAAAAGTTATTTAAAAAGTATTAATAGATATGAAACTTTTAATTTTCTCTTCAAATAATTTGATCAATATTATGTTATATATTCTTTTTTATTTTCAAATAATCTTCCTTTGATTTACCATTTCTTACGCTTTAATGTATTAATACTCTTTTAGATCATTTCGATTATAAAATCAATGTTATTTTTTCATTGTCTAAACTTAGAATGTTATAGATTTAAATATCATTGTGTATGTGTATCCAAGGAACTTTTTTGAATAAAAATAGCCGCATAGCCTTATACTAGCGAAAATTTTCGCCCCGCTACACTAGCAAAAAAAATCACTCCGCTACATTAGCATAAAATTTTTACCCCCGTTCACAAAAGAAAATTCGCCCCTCATGACTCGAAATCCAGGATTCGTCCTTGTATGTATGTATATATACACGGTTAAGATATAATTGAATTGATTACACATGGTTCGGATCCAAAAAATCTTAGACTTCTGTCACCGTATATTCATTTATAATTGTTGTTCATAATTTGCCCATGGAGTAAAAAACTCGACCCCACAAAACATTGCACAAACTGCTACTTGTATCTTACTATACATATAAAGAGGCCAAGAGAGTTAGTACGGTCCTATTCCATCCACCTCATCCGTAGCTACAGTGCCTGATTTCCCCCCTCCGTTTATTGCCTCCGTCTGTCTAAGAAGCTGTTCTCTTCGCCTGATCTGAATGTTTCTGATCTGAATTTTTTAAGTTCTGATCTGATCTGATCTGAATTTTTCTGATCTGATCTGATCTGATCTGAATCTGTCTGATCTGATCTGATCTGATCTGAATCTTTCTGATCTGATCTGATCTGATCTGAATCTTTCTGATCTGATCTGAATGTTTCTGATCTGGTCTGATCTGATCTGAATGTTTCTGATCTGATCTGAATCCTTCTGATCTGATCTGAATCTTTCTGATCTGATCTGATTCGAATATTTCTATGATTATAATTATAATTATAATTATAATTATAATTATAATTATAATTATTATAATTGCAATTACAAATATAATTTAAATAAATTATAATTATAATTGTAATTATAATTACAATATTTATCTCTATAATTGTAACTATAGTTATCAATATTATTATAATTACTCCGTAAAATAATTACAATAGTAATAATAATAATAATAATATTAATAATTATAATAAAAATAATAATTATAATCATAAATTATAATTATAATATAATTATAAGTATAATTATAATTATTATAATTATAATTAATAATAATTATAATTATATTAACATTAATTATAATATTATAATTTAATAATAGTAATATAAATACAATTAATATTATTATAACGATATTATTATATTAATATTATTATTACAATAATATAATAATATTATTATTACAATAATATAATAATAATATGATTATTATTATAATTAGTAATATATTATTATAATATTATATTATAATTATAATTATAATCATAATTATAATTATGATTGTAATTATAATTATAATTATTATAATTATCATTAATTACAATTATATTTATAATTAATTATAGATATAATTATAATAATTACAATTGATTATACTTATAATTATAAGAATTATAATTGTAATTAATATTATAATTACATATAATTATAATATAATATTATAATAATATTAATCATATTATTATTATTATAATATTGTAATAATAATAATAATAGTCTTCTTAACAATTGCATTTATATTACTATTATTATATTAAAATATTAT